CTACAACATCACTGGCTCATTCACACAAGTCAGATAACTGTGAATGGCAGTTTCTCCTCCCTTGGTGTTCACACCTCAACTGCTAGCAGAGCACCTCACCCTCCCTGATTGAACTAACCTCGTAATCTCCATACTGATTTATACCTGCCTCTGGAGATTTCCATTACTTGCATCTGAAGAAGTGAGGTTCTTACCCACGAAAGCTTATGCTCCCAATACTTCTGTTAGTCTTAAAGGTGCCACAGGGCTCTCTGTTGCATATATAACAGAACATAAATGCATCTGTTTTACCTTTAAAAATACTTACCAGATTCATGCAGCAGTTGAAACACACAGCTAGTTGTTGTATTGGAAATTGCTGCCTTTCCTTCCATGTGATCCTTTCTAGCTGCGTTTCCTGCTGTTATTTGGTCTTTTGATTGCATCAGCACACATCCTGCGAGATCTGGCAACTCATAGACTTCTTTTGTTTTACCTTCATTAATTTTTTTACCAAGTTTCAGTTCTAGAGAAATAAAGTTAATTTTTAAAATTACAAATTTTGGACAAATCATGATTATTTTGGACAAATCATATGTATAAGTATGTTTTGGGGAACCAAGATAGCTAGAGACCAGAAGGAGTATTCTAACTGAGAATGCCCCAGCATTCAAATTTTCTTCAATGAGTATAAAGGAACATTTAAAGCCCATCTAGAAAACCGGTAGAAAAGGAAAACTTCAGTTCCAACAGCACAGGCAAAAGTCTGTAAAGTCTCATGACTACTGGCCAAATGGTTCCACTGATGCAAAACAATCAGGATTTGTTTCCTTACATTCTGAGGACTTCACATGTTGGATACATTTCTTTGTATGCATCCTTATTCTTTTTGGCTGTCCTAACAGTAATACAAGTTTAAACAAGCAAATATACAAGTGAAAATTGAGAAGTTCTATTCAAAAGACAGTATGACAATAGGTGGGTATAGTTGATCACTTCATCTTCAGGAAATGGGAAGAAAAGCATACTTGCAGGGCATCAGGCAGATTTATACTTGGAAGCGCTCAGCAATGCCTCTTGCTGGCACTACCTGTGCTACACTGCTATTCATACTTGTGCCAGCTCAATAAGGGCTAGCCAGCAGACAAGAATATGCATACAAGCAGGGAAATCAGACCCCTAGCTCATAACAGAGACAGCCTTAAAAGAGGAAGGAATGATTTTAAGCAAGTGACATTTGAAGATTATTGGGGGTTATCAGCACCTTGACTGTTCAAACTAAAAAGTTTAAAGTGGTAGGTCATTATGTTCATGCTATGTTTGCTTTTCACTCATCCTGGAGCGAAACTGGATTTATCTGGATTATAGCCAGCTTCACGTGCTACACCTCTGGACTTAGGTCCTTTCCAAACCTACGGCAGGGCAGCCGGAAACCTAAAGGCCCCCACTTACAGCGAAGGAGAACAGAGGCCATAAAAACAGCTCTATTAAGTTTTGTTTCTACCCTCATGAACTTCGGAGCCAGCTACTTGCCACGGCGAGTCTTGTCCTTTATGTTTCATTTAATCTCTTTACTAGTTTGGGTTTAAAACAACAAACCAACCCTTTCCCCCCTCCGCAAGGAGTCTACACTGGGGGCCGAGGCTGCACGCACCCCTTATTACCCACCAGCCCACGCGGTACGGCCGGGGCGAGCCCGAGCATCTCACCCCGAGCCTGGCCAGAGTGAATTGGAGCGCAAGCCACCCGTCACTCACGCAGCCCGCTGCTCCTCTCTGCCTGCGGGGGGCGGGGAAGGCGCCTCTTCGGCAGAGCCCCGGGCCCAGCCCCACGCATGAGCCCCGCCGCCTGGGGAAGACTGAGAGGGGCAGCGGGCTCTTCTCCGAGCCCCGCCACCTTCGGGGGGAGGCTGACGCAAAACCCAGCCCCAAGGTCGCCCGAGACCTCGCGCCGGGCCGCGGAGGAGCCGAGGGTGCGGAACGTTACCTGTTGCTACGGGAGCCATCGCGGCGGCCAGGGCAGCGGGCACCTACGAGACACAGAGAGGCCCGATTAGCACGTGGGGCTGGCGGCGGCTCGCACCCCCTGTCACGCTCACTGAGGAGATGACGCAGTGCGCGCGCGCTCGGGGCAAAGGCGGGCAGCGGAAGGGGCGGGGAGTGACTGGACAGCCCAATCGCCGCAGCAGTGTGCCTGGGCCGACCAGGAACCCGCCCCCGCAGGGGCAAACACACAGACCGCTGCCCCCCATGACCCCTCCCCATGAGAGCTTCCACGCGCCTTCCCCCAGTACACGCGTCAACGTCCCCGCCCGCCCGCCCTCCTTCCTCCCCCCCGAGCGAACCCCAACCCCTCTGCTCTCCTTCGCGCCAATAACTCCCCCACGCCGCTCTCTGAGTACCTGGGCCCGCTGTCACTCAGGAGCTGCCCCGGGCCTACCGGCCGGGCTGTAAATATAGCGGAGAGTCTGGGGAAGCGGCACGTGGGAGAGCGGAACGTACCAAGCACACACGGAGAAGGGGGAGGTGCCCGCGCTGAACTGTGTTTCCAAGACCAGACCCAGCGACCCCGCCCCCCCAATCTATCGCACGCGCGGCAGGGGGGATCGTTAGAGTCCCCACCCCCGTATGTAAATAAGGGAGGCCGTGGCGGGCTTTTGGGCGGGACGACGCTGTCCTATTCCTGGCTGCCGCGGCGCCGACGCAGCAGGAGTTGGCCTCGCGCAGGAGGTAGCTAGCGGCCGCCACGACCCGCGCTGAAGGGCCGGCGGCAGCACGTGTTTCTGCGGGGTGGCCGGGCGCTATGGAGTTTGAGGAGCTGGGGATCCGGGAGGAGTGCGGCGTGTTCGGCTGCATCGCCTCCGGCTCGTGGCCCGCGGAGCTCGATGTGCCCCATGTGATCACTTTAGGGCTGGTGGGGCTGCAGCACAGGTAAGGGGGGGGTCTGTGTGGAAGGGCCGCCTGCCTGCACGGGATAAAGAGAGGGGTGCACGTGGGGAGGTGTGACAGGTGGGGCCTGCGCAGGTAAGTGGGTCGGGGGCGCGGGATCAGCACCACAAGTAAGGAAAGGGCGACACAGCATCTACGATTGTTTTTTATGTACTCCCTGACTGTGCGCTCCCTGTTAGAGCAGAGGTAGGTGCAGGGGGCATCTATCCTAATGTAAAAGCTGCAATGTATCTAGTGGTTGCTCAGGTTTTCTAGAGGTAATAGCCAAAATTGACATCTCTCCTCCCCTTACCCCCCCCCCCGTTGCACACTGTAACCCACCATAGCACCAGGGTTCCTCAGAGCTTCCGTTTTGTGATTGCCTTATATGCAAGCCGTGTATGTTCTAACAACCTACGACTGACCTTGGCCTGTTCTAACGCTAGCTCAGATGCCTGGGGTTTGGAGCAGTTCGTACTCCTTGATGGACCGTAGGGCTGAGTTGGGTTTCACCTCAAGTCCCTATTTTTCAATCAACTTCAATAAAGACATGAAACACAGAGTAAACTATTGCTTATTTTAAATTGAGGCTGTGCTGCTTGATCAAGATTGTTTTTGTATAATTTTGATCTCTCTTAATCCATCTGTACCTGTTGCATATTTGTGCTACAGCCATGGAATAAATGCAGTGCACAACATCTTGATGCATTTTGGATATTTAACTGAAACCTACTAAGAGAGTTCTCTTCAGATTATGTGAAACTAGGACTGTATACAAATAATAATTATAAGTAAATCTGCCCCAGATTAAAACCATTTGTATGTCATCAATAGGCCATACGATTTATCTCTATTTTCTCCAAATGGAATGTAACTTGCAAACCAAAATTAAAATTCAGCATTAATTGAATTGAATCAAGTGTGCTTTATGAAACTCATTTTCTTCTAACGTAAAAGTGTGTATTGAAGCCATGTTCTCTATACAACATTAACAAAATAAATATATAAAAGCAAAATCTATAGTGGGAGGGAATAAAATCTCCTGAGGGGCCCACCAAGTAAGGCCCAATCCAAATCCCATTCAAGTGTATGGGGGAAGCCTTTCAGTTGACTTTAATGAGAGTTGTCAGCCCTAAAATAAGGTCTTTAGGCTTTATACTGAAATCAACAAGGACATTTAGTAAACGACTAAGGGCCTTGGATTGGCATTGACTTTAAAAAAAAAAAAAAACAATGAGTCCAGTGGCACCTTAAAGACTAACAGATTTATTTGGGCGTAAGCTTTCGTGGGTAAAAAACACTTCTTCATATGCATGGAGTGAAAATTACAGATACACGCATAAATATACTGGCACAAAGCGACAAGGAGTCCTGTGGCACCTTATAGACGAACAGAAGTATTGGAGCATAAGCTTTCGTGGGTGAATACCCACTTCATCAGGCGCCTGATGAAGTGGGTATTCACCCACGAAAGCTTATG